TTATTACCAAACGTCATCGCAAGAATATTGGATCCACACGCATCGCCCTCCGTAAAGTAAATTGGTTCTTCAAGTAGTGACCTCCTCTTCGTTTTCTAGTTCGCAGACTGAGGTTCCGGCCGAAGTACACCCCACGATAATGGACCCACCACCCCGCAGATCGGTCTCTGGCAGCTGCCTGTTACAGGTCTTGGGGGCATTCTTTCTTTCGTCCCCCTGCCGGTCTGTTTGCCAATATGCCTGGTGTCTTTCTTCTCACTGTACAATGAACTCCTCGATCTCATCGTGGAAGTTCCTGCATGTGCCCGTGATTGCAATTGGGCAACACAGTTCTATTCAAACTCATCTCTATCAAGTACTATATTTATTATTTTCCTCTTTTCCATCATGATATTCAACTATTTATTATTTTAACATGGACGCTTTGCTAGCTGCATGCACACACCACACCAGACTCTACAACCCCATCAACCCAAAACACACCAAAATAACGTATATAAACATATATAACGCCCCAAAACACATTCACAGGTTTCTTCTTGAGCCCAACAGAAGCGACAAAGTACAAGTGAAGACCATTATCTCTGCAGATCGATCGACTGTAATATATTTTCCATATCAAGCGTTCACTATCATTCCACCTGCAACATGTACAGATACAAGATTCAAGTGATGATGAACAGTACTGAACAGAGTCCTATATATCCTATGCAATAACTAAATTATATATATGATGAGTACTTACCATTAGGATGGAGAACCTGACCGGTGATGTAAGAGGAATCGGTCTGAGAGGCAAGAAAGACATAGGAAGGTAAAATCTCATAGGGTTGGCCTGCTCTGCCCATCGGCACTTGTGTCCCAAATTGTGAGGTCTCCTGCTCCTGGCTAACCGACGCCGGTATAAGCGGAGTCCAAACGGGGCCCGGCGCAACCCCGTTGACACGGATCCCCTTTTGTACCAGCTGCAGGGCTAAACCCCTTGTGAAGGCCACGATAGCCCTTTGGTGGCTGTGTAGTCCAGCATATCAGCGTTTCCCTTGTACGCATTCACCGACGTGGTGTTAATGATGCTGCTCCCTTGCCTCATGTACTTCAAAGCATGCCTGACCATGAAGAAATGGGCGAAGATGTTGGTCCTGAAAACCCTCTCCAGCCGCTCCTCACCGATCTCCTCTACCGAGTTGGCCTTGTGCTGCTCCGCAGCATTATTAACCAGTATGTCGATCCTCCCATAGGCGTTTACCACCTCCTCCACTACTCGCTTGCAGTTGTGATCGTAGCCCAGGTCGGCCGCTAAGGCCATGGGATTCTTGCTGCTGGCGTCCCCGGCGTTGGCTTGTTTTATCAACTGCAGGGTGTCGTCTGCGTCCTTGTCCTCTTGACCCTTCACATAGGTGAAGGCCACGGTCGCACCCTCTAGCGCGAAGCAGTGGCACACAGCCCTCCCTATGCCCGAGTCTCCACCCGTCACTAGTGCCACCTTCCCCTGTATATCAAATATGAATTATTAATTTATTATTATTATTATATGTAATGCAACATTAATGCATATGCATTTGCATGTATGATCCTCTGAAACAGAGAAAGTACACGGAGCTTGTTAGAGGGCTTGTATTCATGGCTTGTGGAATTAGGGATGGGGTCCATGGCATGCTCCTTCCCTGGTTGCCTGTCTTGCTTCTGGGGCTGGAATTGTTGCCCGCCGGACGCCATTATTATCTCGATCGAATGCTTTTTTGGGTACTGAAGATACCGGCCGGAAATGTTACACGAACCTTTGCAGGAAAGGACGTTGTCTGATAAAAGAGTGTGATAATAATAGGAACTCCGAGCAATGACCCCTGAGGAAAAGATGGCGCGAGAGAACATGATCATCGACATGGGGTCGACAGCTTTCATTGTTAATTTGTTATGGAGCGAAGCCGTCCGCTTCTTATCTCCACGTATCAACTGCATGGACTTACGTGTCAAGTTGCATGCAGCTGGCCGGCCCCTACACGTCATTGAATAAGACAACATTGGTAATTATTTAGGAATAGAGCTGTTGTTGATAATCCCCATCGTGTCCGTGGGCCTTCAAATTCCTGAGCACAGTGTCCACTAATCCTCCTTCACTCGGCTGATTGATCAGTGAAGGGGAATGGCACAGGATTAGGAGGTTACACGTACCGATTATGAATTGAAGTCATCCGTAACAAGAGTTTCTAATTCAGCCAGGTGTATAAGTTTTTGTCTCCAGCTAATCCACCCCTGGCCTGGCAAGCCTTCGTTTAACGATGTGGCTGCAAACAATGGTGGGTGGTCCCTCAGATCTATAGTCTGAACTCTAAACCATCATCAACGCCTACCAAAAGAACAAGATTCTTTTTGACTCATTAATTCTGCTAAAGGCCCATCCTCCCTAAGTTCGAGTTATTTATCACAGTTTGGGTCAAATAATAACAATTTAATTGAATGTGGTTATAATTGCATTATTATTTGTGCATTTCCTATTTCCTATTTTCAATAAGTTTCCTTCATTTATTTATTAGATAAGATTAATAAGACAATGGTCGTTTTAATCATAAAAAAACATTATTAAAAGGGGTGATGGATATCATTTTCTTAAACAATATAGGTATCTTGGTCAATGAGAACTAAAATTTTATTGATCAATTTCCCTCTTTATTTGTTTTTTTCGTTTTTTGAGAAATTAGGGTAAGTATTTTCTAAGAAACACTTATTCCAATAAGTACATTTATCTATATTCTTTTATTTCCTAAGTAAGATAATGACTGTTTTAGCCATAAAAGTCTATTATTAAAAGGGATAATTTTGTCCCATCTAAGTGTTGGTAACTTTTCCCCAAGTAGGAAAGTTACTTATCCACCTGAGAGAGAGGTATCACTTACTCCAAAAAAAAATAAATTTTCCATAAACCCAACATAAATCTGAAAAAAATAACATGGATATTTTGGTCAATGGGATTTTCCAATTTCTCCCTCTCAAAATCTAAAAAAATAAAGGACAAATTTCTTAAACTACCCTTATTATTTAGCTAGTTGACAATTATACCTTTACTGTTTAACTATCATCTTGTGCTACCCCTACGTTTCATAATTGACTAGCTCTACCCCTAGTTAGCATCCATTAGTATTCCGTCAAAATTCATACACATGTGACACCGCATGACATTTAATTTTCTTTTAAATCCAATATTACCCTCATCCCCTTTCTCTCAAGGCCGTTGTGAGGGATTTTGGCTACTCCATCGGCTCCCCTACGCTAGCGGTGGCATTGGTGTCGGACACCTATGCTGGTGCCGTTGAATAGGGCTGCAATTCTTGCTWRTAACAGGGTCTCCTCCTCATCGTCCTAATTAGATGGCAAGCTTAAGCTGAAGTGCCTCACACTAGGACTCGTTGAAGCAAGTGAAGATTCATGTTCAAATCTGGGGCTTGCAGAAGGGGTTCCACTAGTCTCAACGTATCAACACACGTAGTTGCTTCCATGCTTGGGCAAGTTAGGACAAGCTCCAAACATAGCTGCTGTCGTTGCTCCGACCCGCACGCGAGGGGTGCTCAATGCTCTTATTGGACGAAGATAAGAAGACTCGCGAGAGTCCCGGTTTGAAAGTCATCTGTACCTGTACCAATCTATATAGGAAGTCTTTGATCTGTATAGGAAGTCTCTTTCCTTTTTGGACTAGGAACTTTGTTTTAGAAAGTCATGGGGAGCAAGGAACTCCTCTGCCGTATGTATATAAATACCATAAGGATCAATGGAACGGACATCGTTTTGGAGCTTCCAATGTTTTTCTCATGGTATGAGCCTGGTGTGTTCGAAGAGACCCACCAAGTAGGCCTCGACGGCTTCTTGAAGAGCAGCGACGGCACTGCTCTGGAAACGTAGATCTGTTTTGAAGTCCTGAGCGATCTCACGGACGAGACGCTGAAAGGGTAACTTTCAGATCAAGAGCTCCGTGCTCTTCTGGTACTTCCTGATCTCACGAAGAGCAACGGTTCCAGACCTGAACCTGTGAGGCTTCTTCACTCCTCCGGTCGCCGGTGCCAACTTCCGAGCCGCCTTAGTTGCCAGCTGCTTTCGTAGAGCCTTCCCTCCTGTTGATTTCCTTGTAGTCAGCTTGTTGTCTGCTATCTGGTCTGCGACTCTGCGGTGGTTTTATGCAGAAACAGAAAAAAAAAAAAAAAAAAAAAACTGTTCGAACGGAACCAACAGGAGATGATGAGGAGAAGACGATCCACAGAGGAGTAGGGAAGCAGGGGAAGAAGAAGAAGAAAAAGGAGGAGGAGAAGAGAGAAAGAGAGAACGAATACCTGCTCCTCTCCGGCTGGTTGCAGCGGAGATCTGCCTTGGATTTCACAGACTCCAAGCAACGGAGATCCGACACCCGCCATACTTTCAAGCACTTGCCCCAGAAAATAGAGTAGATTAAACCACTGCTGACGGCGAGGCCAGAGACAGCGTCAACGTGTTCAATCCATACCCATTTCTTGTGGTGTCTGACACAGACGTAGTTCTTCGGTAGATGTTCGTCACCACGAGTTGATGTCGTTTGGTCGGGGTTAGATGCCAGACTCGGATCTTAGAGTCCTGGTGAGTAGTGAAGACCTTCCTTTCTGAAAAAGCGACTTAACGGAACCCGAGGCGGCATAGAGTAGGTCATCGGAACAACGTAGCCTAAGGGATTTTACCTTTATGGAACAACAACCGGCGAATTGAATTGTCGTACCATTGTTCAGTGTTTGCCGTGACTAGAGTGATGCTGCAAGTAGTGAAGAGACTTCTTCGGAGAGGAGTTTGGAAGAAAGAACCCCATTACTGCTACTCTRTTCAGTCTCCTCTTTCAGCTTCATTTTGTACGGACAAAGGTGATGGGTTCCGAAGCTCCAWGTTCATTCCTGCRAGTTGAAGATTCAGAGGATAATCAAAGATTGTCGTGTTTCTTACTGTTTCTTCTCGATATTATTGCTGACAAGTCTTGCTGATCGGTCACCATGGCTGCCAATAACGAAAGGAATGCTGAGAGCTCAAGTAAGTCTGAATGGTGGGGAGACAGACCCCGCGATACGTCGACCGGGCATGGAGCAAATCGAGGAAAAGGGGGTGGACCCTCTGGCGGATGTGACCGAGGTTCAGCAAAAACTCATGCTGCTCAGTCATCAGCAGGGCATGAGGTGGCTGCTAATGCAGTCGTAACTAACGGAGACAGACCCCGCGATACGTCGACCGGGCATGGAGTAGATCGAGGAAAAGGGGGTAGACCCTCTGGCGGATGTGACCGAGGTTCAGCAAAAACTCATGCTGCTCAGTCATCAGCAGGGCATGAGGTGGCTGCTAATGCAGTCGTAACTGACGGAGACAGGACCAGAATAAATAGGCTTAATGACGAGCAATGGCAGACTCTTGTAAGCATGCTTGATGCTTACAAAACCAGGACTAATGAAAAACTCTCTAGTAAGACTTACTCCACTGAATGGATTGTTGACTATGGGGTGTCACATCACATGACAGGGAATTTAAATGTGCTCGTCGACACCTATGATGTTGCACCTTGCCCTGTTAGGTTACCCAACGGTGCGCACACCGAGGCCATGAAAGAAGGCACCGTTGAACTTGGAAATAATTTTAAATTGTTGCACGTATTATATGTCCCAAAACTCAATTGTAATTTGTTGTCAGTAGGTCGGTTACTTCGTGACACAGATTATATTATTACGTTTACTAATAAGTTGTGTGTGATATAGGACCGCATCTCGAGGACTCTGATTGGTGCGGGTGAACAGCTTGATGGGGTCTATGTCTTCAAGGGTGTGGCGCCGATTCGTGCCTGCAAGACATATGGAATTGGATCATGCGATTTGTGGCATCAAAGATTGGGACACCCTTCTTATCAGACGATGAGCTTACTTTTTAGTATTGGTAATAGTAGGAATAAAACCTGTGATGTTTGTTTGAAGGTGAAGCAAACTAGAGATGTCTTTTTTCAAAGCGGTAATAAGGCGATTGATTGTTTTGCATTAATTCATTGTGACCTATGAGGGGCTTATAGAGTACCTGCATCTTGTGGTGCTGCATACTTTTTGACAATTGTTGACGATTATTCTCGAGCAATTTGGATTTATTTGCTAGCTGAAAAGAGTGAAGTTGGTCGAACACTCAAGAATTTCTGTGCAATGGTCGAACGACAATTTAATAAGAAAGTTAAGGTGGTAAGGAGTGATAATGGCACAGAGTTTTAAATCCTTGAAATCATATTTTGATGAGTAGGGAATTTTGTTTCAATCTTCCTGTGTTGGAACACCACAACAAAATGGTCGTGTAGAGAGAAAACATTGTCATATTTTGAATGTGGCGAGAGCACTGAGGTTTCAAGCACATCTTCCGATCAGCTTCTGGGGAGAGTGTGTTTTGACCGCAAGGTACTTGATTAACCAGACACCTTCGACCCTTCTTGGTGATAAAACACCTTACGAGATGTTGTTTGAACAAAGTCCTTCTTATAAACATCTCAGAGTTTTTGGTTGCTTGTGTTTTTCGCATACTCGGGACCGTGACAAATTTGCCGCTAGGAGTAGGAAATGTATCTTTGTTGGGTATCCTTTTGGGAAAAAGGGATGGAAATTATATGATCTTGAGTCTGGTGATTACTTCGTCTCACGAGACGTGGTGTTTAGTGAGGCTGAGTTTCCCTTTACCACTCCGGAACATCAACCCTCAGTAACCAGTCCTCCCGTAGCCAAAGAAAATGTTGGGTTGCCTTGGGCCACTCTTCCTGACATGGTATCTAAGTCACCTCATATAAAAGTCAGGGGGAGCGACACGGTCAATGAAAAAGGACATCAGAACACGGGTAATGATGARGAGGCAAGTCCTCTTGATGAGACAAGGAGTCATGTAGCTTGTAGAAATAATGAAACTCCAGTTGCTTGTCAGCCCACCATAGAGTTATTAGGCTGTGGACATCGAGAAAAGCGGCCCCCCAACTATTTACAAGACTTTGTCACACACTCTGCTCGTCGTTTAGACCCCTCCGCTGTTTCTCCCGCATCATCTCAGTCCTCAGGTACTCCTTATCCCATAACTAATTATGTGACGTATGATAATTTTTCTGTGAAACACAGACATTTCTTGGCAACTGTTACTGCAAGCTGAGAACCTACTCATTTCTCTGAGGCAATGACTGATGCTCGGTGGTGCGAGGCTATGCGCCAAGAGATACAGGCTTTGGAAGACAATGGGACATGGACCTTGGAAGACCTCCCACCTAGAAAAAAGGCAAGCAGGTGTAAATGGGTCTACAAAATCAAGTACAACTCTGATGAATCCATTGAAAGATTTAAAGCACGGTTGGTAGTCCTGGGCAACACTCAAGTTGAAGGTCTTGATTACAACGAGACCTTTGCCCCTGTGGCTAAAATGATCACAGTTCAAACCTTCCTAGCAGTTGTTGTGGCCCAACATTGGGAATTGCATCAGATGGATGTCCACAATGCTTTTCTGCACAGTGATCTCCATGAGGAGGTCTATATGAAACCTCCCACAGGTTTTTCGGCCTCTAGGACTGGAAAGGTATGCAAACTCCGGAAATCTTTGTATGGTCTGCAGCAAGCCCCCCGGAACTGGTTCTCTAAGTTAGGTGCTGCCTTGAAAACTTTTGGGTTTGAACAATCCTATTTCGATTATTTCTTATTTACATATCGCAAGGATGGGGTTGTCTTGCACGTCCTGGTTTATGTTGATGACTTAATCGTTGGTGGGAATAACCCGGAGTTCATACGCAAATTTAAACAATATATGAGCCGGTGTTTTCGCATGAAGGACTTGGGTGTTCTTAAATATTTTTTGGGCATCGAAGTGACTCGCGGATCATCGGGGATATTTCTTTGCCAAAGAAAATATACACTTGATATTATTACAGAAGTTGGCTTATTGGGATCCAAACCTGCTCACCTTCCTATTATTCAGAATCATAAACTTTCCCTTGCCGACGGCAAGCTCCTGGATGACTCGGAACGGTATCGACGTCCTGTGGGCCGTTTGATTTATTTAACCATTACACAGCCGGAGCTCAGTTATTGCGTCCATGTCCTAGCACAATTTATGTAGAGTCCTCGAGTTGATCATTGGGATGCGGCCTTGCGTGTGGTTCGTTATCTAAAAGGACGTCCTGGTCATGGAATATTTTTGCGCTCTGATAGTGATCTGCAATTATATGCCTACTGTGATTCCGATTGGACGAGTTGCTCTCTCACTCATTGCTCTCTTACTGGGTATTTTATCATGTTCGGACATTCCCCCATCTCCTGAAAAACCAAGAAACAACATACTGTCTCTCGTTCCTCTGCCGAGGCTGAATACCGGTCAATGGCTACTACCAATTATGAGTTGAAGTGGCTAAAAGGTCTGCTATTATCTTTGGGTATCTCTCATCCTCAACCTATACGCCTGTTTTGTGATAATCAGGTTGCTCTGCACATTGCCGCGAACCCTGTTTTCCATGAGCGGACCAAACATATTGAAGTTGATTGTCATATCATTCACAATGAGCTCCAAGCCAGCACTATTGCACCTGCCTATGTCTGTACCGGTGAACAATTTGCCGATATTTTCACCAAGGCCCTCGGACAACAACAATTTGATTCCTTCCTTCCCAAGTTGGGCATTCGCAATCCTCATGCACCACCTTAAGGGGGAGTATTGGACGAAGATACGAAGACTCGCGAGAGTCCCGGTTTGAAAGTCATCTGTACCTGTACCAATCTGTATAGGAAGTCTCTGATCTGTATAGGAAGTCTCTTTCCTTTTTGGACTAGGAACTTTGTTTTAGAAAGTCATGGGGAGCAAGGAACTCCTCCACCGTATGTATATAAATACCATAAGGATCAATGGAACGGGCATCGTTTTGGAGCTTCCAATGTTTTTCTCAGCTCTTGAACCAGTTCGCAGCCCCRTCATTGCAACTTCAAATCGAGGTGGGGACCTTCCTCTCCTTCTTCCTCTCATAGCGGCGAACGGTGAGCCATGGTGTGGAGGATGGAGCTAGTCCCCATCAGGATCTGGGGTCAGTTTTTTTGGGCCGATGTGGTGAACCCAAAGAACTCCATGGGCCCAATCATGGATGTAGAATACGTCTCCTTCGTTCACCCCTGCGTTCATCACTAGAGGTGTAAATCGGGTCGTGCCGCCTTCGGCCCGGCACGACCTGGAATGAATTTGGACCAGCTTGGCATGACGGTCTACGRGCCATGCCAGGCCTGGCACAACCATGCAGGCCATGCTGGGCTTGGGATTTTAGGTCCATGGGCCAGCACGGCCCATATTTATATTTTATATATATTATAATTATATAATAATATGTAGTATATAATATATTAATAAAATAAATATTTTTTAAATTTTATTATACTAATTTATTTAATTATTACATATATAAGCAATTTTATATATATTTATATAAGCAATTTTATAAAATTAAAATTTTAAGTTTTTTGTTAAATTTTTAAAATAAATAGCTTTGGCCCGATATACGGCGGCCCAACCTGACCCAAGGATCGGCCCACGGGCCAGCCCGGCCCATGGCACAACACGGCACAACCCAAGCCATGGGCTGTGCCGAGCCGACCCCCAAAATTTTCACTGGGAAGAAAAGCATGGCCTGTAATGGCCCACGACCACCCACGGGCCATGCCGACACGACCCACTTTACACCTCTATTCATCACAGTGGAGTTGGACCCTCTACTTCAACGCCAATATGTTCATCTTTGAACCAAGCCTCTCCAGCTATGACAATCTCTTGAAAACCCCCTGACCTCATTGGATGATCTCAGGCTCCACATCTGAGTATTCTTGGGAGAAACCCTATTTTCTCCAACATCAGAGAGATGCCAATGGTCAAAGGGAGTGGGGTTTTCAGGTTCACCAAAAGCTAACATTCAAGTTAAGACACGTCTCGTTGAACTCTCGTTTCTTCGCCCTCTCCCTCTCATTCTCTTCCCTAGTGTCACAAGGGAACCATCAGAATCGTTGAGGTTGTCCTGCCAAAAGAGAGGTGCTTCAGTCATCATTGAATCTGGATCTACTCCATGGACGGCAAACACAGAACAGAGTTGCCTGACAATCGCACCCACCCTTGGGAGAGGATATATTTCTAACTACTTGATCTGATATATTTCTCGATAACGATCTTGGTGGGCTTGTCTAGGCCTACCGCTGCAAAAAATGGTGTCTCCGTAGGGAGAGAGTGAAAGAGTTAAGGGTAGCATGGGTTTTTGACTCAAGGGAAAAACAGACATTTCACATATTCCGTTATGATATAACAACAATGGTAATTCTCGGAAACTATAGGGATAGCAAGATTCAAAGTATCAGAAATGCCAAGTATATCGGAAAAGCAATTTTAAGAGACGTATTGGAATACACATTCGATACATATGTGTATCGGAGAAAAACTAAGATACGCATAGATACACTTAGAAACACTATAAATATTTTAATAAATCATAAAAATACATCAACAACACAAAATATAAGACCTCAATGAGGTGTATATACATTAAATTAATATATTTTAATGGTTTTATTAAAAATATATTATAGCTAATTATAATTTCATTAAAAATCCTATGCTTAACTATAATTTATAAATTATAATTCTTAAGTTTTAATGTTTTATGGGATGAGAAAAACCCAACTTTCCTATCCAACCATAAAACATGCATTCACACAACTTCTATGTGAAAATATAATTAATAACTATTTATTATTTATTTCCAAAAATTACAAAAATAAATAAACATTATATAATATATTCAAAAAATAGTTATTAAAGAAGAAAATTCCAATTGCTTTGTGAATATGATAGATCATCCATAGAATTATAATATATTCAATCATTGTGATCAAATGATAAAATTAATTAATTTTTAATTCTAAAATATAAAAATAAAAAATAATTATTAAAGAAGAAATTCCAATTGGTCTATGGATATGATAGATCATCCAAAGAATTATAATATATTCAGTTGTTGTGATCAAATGATAAAATATAATTAATTATTATTTATTTTTTTAATTCTAAAATATAAAAAATCAAAAAATATATTAAAGAAGAAATTTCAATTGCTCTATGGATATGATAGATAAATCCATAGATCTAAAACATATTAAATATTTATAGGTAGATAAAAAATTATATTTTCAATTTTTTTGTTAATTTATATTTTCCCCAAATATCTTCATGGAATTTCCATAAATCTATTGATAACACAAAAAAAAATTGTGATTTTGAATGTAAGAAATGTAGATCAAAATAAATTTAAACATTCAAGAAAAAAAGAAATCACAAGATATTATAAAAGATTGAAAAAATTTACCTATTTTTGCCATATTTTTTCAAAATTTGAAAAAATCTTTTAAAAAAAAATTAACGATTCACACTTGTTTCTTGCAAACTTTTGCAAATCTAGCACTCTAGGAATGAAGTTTGGAGTTTTAGAGTCATTTGGGGGTGAAAGAAGGCTTATTTCRGGGAAAAGAAGCTTGTTTTCCCCCTTTATTTTTTTTTTTAGTTTATGGTCGTATGTTTTTCTTCGATACGCCCCCGATACGCCCCAATACAGGTTTGATACGCATGAAAAAGGATGAAATGTTCGATTTCCATGTGTATCCTGTATCGGTTTTCCAAAGATACGATACAATACGCCCCGCATCGAGCGTATCGTATCGAAATTTTAAACCTTGGGGTAGCATAAAACAAAAGTTAAATAGTAAGGGTATAGTTTGTCAATTAGCTAAACTGTAGGGATAGCTTAAGAAATTTGTCAAAAAATAAACGCCCCATAAGAGGAACGCTCTAACCTCCCTAACAAAGAACCAAGGTTCAAAGTATCGTTACGTATCGGCTGATACGTATCGTTCCGGGACCTTTCCGATACGCCCCTACAGTGGGTGTACCAGGGGCCTAACCGGTTCAGGGGATGGAGAGGTCCTAGACCGGCTCCCCTGAACCAGTTTTGAAAAAAAAAATAAAAAAGGTAAAAAAATGAGTATCGAAACGCCTGATACGCCCCTACCGATGTATCGATATTTTGAACCTTGCAAAGAACAACAAGTGAGATCTTTCATAAGAATATATATATATATATAACCCATTTTTTTCAAGTACTCTCCTCTTCCCTCCCTTGACAGTGGTGGTGAACCAGCGGTTCAGACCTCCACCTCTCTCTCTCTCTCTCATCTTCCCCTCCCTTTTCCTCTTCTTTCGTTCTCTATTTCGTCACTGCCAAGATCATGAACACTCCCCTATTTAAGACAAAGCACAACGGCGATAGATCGACAACAACACTTTGATTGACTTTTATCCCTCCATTAGGAGGCGACGCGCAACAAGTAGTGAACCCAGGCCGAAATATGATCAGGACCAGTGACAGTAGCGAGAGTTTGTTTCATTATTTTTTAGCAAGTGATCATCCATCTCTTATAACCTCCTCTACGATCCTTGAGTGTTGGAGACTTCTTGCTCTCACCAAATCTTCCGTCCATGGGTCACCACAACTGGGCGAACTCACTGCGTACTCAACGGGTTCTAGCAGACCTCTCCAAAGTCAGCGGACTTGAGTGCAGGAATAGCCTCAGTGAAGGATCGTAAGATTTTGGGGAGGAGACCTTCGGTGGACAAGGATTCATCCTCATGTCTGAGGCAATTGCAGAGGATAGTTTGAATTTGGGTTGTGAGTTCACAGCCTCGCACGAGACCGTTGATCAGCCTTTTCCAATCAATAGAGTAATTTCCCGGCAATAGAGATTCAACTACTGTGTCCATCTCGCTTGGTTTATATGTTATGAATGGCTCTGCTTCTTCTCCTTTCTGGTTTGTTTTCCTTTCTCAAGGATTATACTTAGAGGTTGAGGTTGAGGAGGAGAGAGGAGTACAGCCCTACGAGCTAGAGCAGAGCAGGGAGTGTCGAAATGTCATGTCTTCACATTTACGAATTAGGAAACCACATTGAAAATGAGTTGACATTTTCAAGAGAAGACAGGGAAGGAGACGCCGTTCCCTTTAGATGGCACACTTCAATCAAGTCACACAAAGCTAAAGATGCGTGGCGCATTTTCCTTTTGTGCGAACGGTGCGTGTATAGAAATCGTGCCTAGACTGAAGCCAAACTCTCACAAAATTTCATTTGGGGTGTTCTGATTGGTTAAATTCTTSCAGTATCATAGAAATCGTTCATTCTTGTAGTCGGAAACAAAATTGCCATCATTATAACCAATTACTGTAATTCTATCAAACTCTAGTACATAAATGGGGAAACAAAAAGACCCACCTAGAACCAAAGACCTTAGGTGGTGCAAATACAATATGTAAAGTGAAAAACCTTGTATAACCAACTGAGCCACCTCTTAATTAGTATGTTAGCTGGTTTGTCACAATAGAGATAAGGTTTTGATTCCTGCTACCACCAACTTTGGAGATGGGAGGTTATAAGTGTGATGGGTATGTCACCAAATCTATATTACTATAAAATATCTCTTCTTGAATTTGATCACTCTTTATTGTGAGGATAATTTTAATTTGAATATTACTTTTACTCTTTTAGTACATTTCATTCCCTCATTAAGTACCACATTTAAGACATTAACTCTCATTAAATCTTAAATTTAAGTATTTCGGTATATCATTATTAAATTTCACTAATTAAACCAATGAATATTGATATTAATAATATAAAACCTATATTTTAAAATCAAATAAAAACAAAATCGGCTTTTCTTGGTGGAAGATAAGTAATTATACCATTTGAGTCAAATAGGTGAACCTATGATACCATAATTAAATACTAAAAATTTAAAAATGGATAAAAATACATAAATAAAAAAATTAGAAAATTTTAGTCACATCTTTAATATTATATATTTGTTATCAAAAACAAGTATGATAAATAAAAAGTATTTTTGTTAATGATGGAAATAGAATGCAATGTTTAAAATTGGCCCATAAATGAAACCATTTTCCTCTTTGATTGGTGGACCAATGGTTCAACCGTTCAGATCAATAAATAAACCCATGATGTCATAGTAAAATAATATTTTTTAAAAGAAATAGAAAAATACAAAAAGGTTATAGTTAAAAAAAAAGATAAATGTGATAAACAATAATTAATTCTTTTAATGATGTAATGAAATACAAGAAATAATTAAAAATTTGGCAAATCTCTAATATTATATAGCCATTATATTAAAGAAAATAAATATGATAAATAAGAATTATTTTTATTAATGATAATAATAGAATAAAAAATAAAATTAAGATTTTCATTCAAGAAATGATTCAAGCATTCAATAGTTTAGGCTAACCAATGATGTTATAATTAAATAATAAAAAATTAGCAATAAACAGAAATACTAATAATTATAAAAACAGAAAAAGTATATAAAAAACTTAAAAGAGACATTTTTAATACTATAACGGTATAACCACATTATATAAAAAAAAAATAATTATTTTTATTGATAATAAAAATGGAATAAATACGAATCTTCCATTTAAGACAGATCCTGAAGATGCTGCTGTCACCGTGATCTGTTTCTCCACTGCAAACTGAAATCTTCCATTACCAGACCTCATCTGTACTATTAAATACGAATAGATATTTGAAAAGAGTGAAAGAGCAGGGAATTGGAATCGGGAGCAAAGAGAGTCAAATAAATGAATTTTATTACAATTACTTTATCGTGCTGAGAAAGAGAAGCAGAGGAAGAGTGCGGAACATCATAACAGGAGACCAAAGCTATGGCAGAAGAAGTGAGAAACAAAGTAACCGCTGAAAAGAAAATGTCAAAATGGGTCCGACGCCCGACGGTTGACGATCACACTATACCCTTTCGCCATATATGTACTGTGCGCCTGATAACACCCCATCACCCTCCATGCGCAATTTAGCCGGCGATGCCACTGGGACCATTTTTGTGCTGTGAGTCCCACCGGATATGCTTATAGCGGGATAATCAGTTAATCACGACCATCCGATTAATTGGGACCCATTTTTGGACCCGGTTCATATTATCTGATGCCAAAAGAAGTATTTAGCGAGCATTTTAATCTTACTCTGCTCCTTTTTCCGCTCTTCCATGGCTTGCTTCTCCTTCTCTGCTACTCGGCTTCCTTCTCTTACATGGATTTCATATCGGAAAACCAGTCATCCCCGTCTGCTTTCTCGATCACAGAACCCTAGCTTTAGATTTACAACCGCCATTAACTGTACAGCTGAGATTGCGGACAGAACTTCGACGCTGCGAGAAATCTGTGAAGGTCGTGTTCCAGAGCATATACTGCGCAGGTGAATGTTTCTAAAACAATAACTTTTAGTGCCTTTTCTTTTCGAATTTTCTTGCTAATTACAGAATTCATTGGGATAATTCAATCTTTATTGTGAATTCGACCGAGTAGACAAGTTTGACTTCGCTTATGTATTAGAAACTACAAGTGAAATGCAGTTGCATCTGCATTTATTTGCCACATGTCTATTCGTGGTCACAAATGTTGCTTGATATTTGATGATAATTCTTGTTACTTGTGCTGGAAATGCATAGAGATGTTGGCTATTAAACGAATATTGATAAGATATCTCTTATTTTCTGCAGAGCGGAAGAGATTGGATTTGTTATACCAACAAATGTGCAGCGGCAATCTTTACCTATTCTACTATCTGGACAAGATTGCGTTCTTCATGCTCAGGTTGCTTAATGCGTTTGAACTGAATGCTACGTGATATTTGCGAACAACTTCATTCACTATATTTTCATGGTTTATAGAAGATCTGTTAAATCTAAATTTATGCCTTTTAGTGGGAGACACTTCTCATTTCCTATGTTCACAAATTCACTGTTAATAAAAAAATACACAGCCTAATCATGACCGTGATGTTCCTTAACAAAACACTTCTTAATCCATCTTTTTCTTTTTTTTTTTTTGTGTGTGTGTGTGGAAATATGAGGAACTTCTTAATCCATCTTTTTTTTTTTGTGGAAATAGGAGGAACTTCTTAATCCATCTTCTTTTTTTTTTTGACTCCCATTTTTAGAACCTTTAATCTTCTTAACTTTTGGGGAAGATGAGGATAACAGCTATTTTGTTGATCCACTCTCTGACCTCAGAACCTATGGTATCTTTTAGTTATATGTATTTTTTGCATATGTAACAATAGTTAAGGCCCCTAATCCAGTGGCAAGAAAGCTAAAGCTCAATTTATTTGGTCCTCTAGACAGGTTCTGGGAAAACACTGGCGTACCTCCTACTAATTTTTTCAGTTATAAATGTTAAAAGATCTACTGTGCAAGCACTGATAGTGGTGCCAACTAGAGAACTTGGCATGCAAGTAAGAATGATGTTTATACCGTTTACAATATTGTATTTAATTCTCTATCATTCGAAATAAATTACTTAATGTTGTTAAGACTGCAGTGTGCATCTAATATTATGCTAATCATTATCTTTGGCACTTTAAAAAGGTTACAAAAGTTGCTCGGATGTTGGCTGCAAAGCCTGTGGAAACTGGACCAGAGCAGAAGAATTGTACAGTCATGGCTCTTTTAGATGGAGGGATGTTGAGAAGACATAAGAATTGGCTAAAGGTGCCACAAATCTATTTGAACTTATTTCATTCTTGTTATCCTACCAATATAAGAAAGAAGGCTTGCTATTGGCAAACACCTGTATTCTGGCATATTAAGGACTTTATATGATGAGGTTCAACACCCAGTAGTTAGATACTTTGGAACTTCTCTGGACATCTTGTATGAAAATTTTATAATAGAAGCAATTTCTGGATAATTCCACTCTTGTGCCTCACTTAAGTACGTTATAAATGTTATTTGTTTGATCAGATGTTAATCATATTCCATGTACAAAAGTGATGACATCATAACACGGTTTCATAAGAAATTTCACGTTATTGATTCAAAAAGATTAGTAATCATCATGTAGATCTACAAAGAGTTATTGAAGCTGCATCTTGTTGGCTTTTGGAGTAAGCACATTTTGGATTATATGGCTTCATCATCCATCTCTACTTGCTGCCAACAGCTTGATGCCTCCATTATGGTCCTCTCCAGCAAACCACCTCTAGTTAAACTTTGATGGCTGCAGGTGTTTTTAGATACTTTCATGGTACAGTTGCAACATTATTTTCAAGTCTAATAGGGTATGGGAACTCAATAAGAGCAGAAGTATTGGCTTTACTCCAAGCTCTTAGAATAGGGAAAGACGACAACTACAACCAGTTGTTGGTAAGAGGTCAGACATCTAGCCATTAGCTGCATGGGGCTTTACTCCAAGGTCTTAGAATAGGGAAAGACGACAACTACAACCAGCTCTTGGCTTTACTCCAAGAGCAGAAGTATTGGCTTTACTCCAACTGCTGCATGGGGCCATGGCAATACAGACATGTTATGAGAGAGTCAGACATCTAGCCAGAGACTTGCGAGCTACATTCACCTGGGTTCAGGGATCATGCAACAGTATGGAAGATGGTTTGGCTATATTAGGAGTCAACAGAATGCACCTTTATTGGGGAATCATTACTAGGGGAAATGGTGATGGCATAGATTCAAAAGGGAAAGGAATTCAACTTAGGTAGCAAGGCTAGCCTAATACTTTGAGATGTTTGGCATACTCCTTGTATATAACTTACTTTTTTCATATAAATTAATAAAGAAGTTTAAGTTACTAATAAAAAAATTGGATGTATGCATAATTTATCAGAAAATAATATATCTTTTTTAACAACTTTTGTGAATGTTTTAAAGGTAATATGTTTAGTTCCTAGAGGGCCTTGGTGGAGTACTTATTATGCCTTTCAAGATAGTGTTGCCAAAACTGAGAAAATATTTACAGATTATAAATATATTCTGATGGAAATCCATCATGAGTATGCATTGAGGATAGCTGTTATAGAGAACTGTTTTCAGTTGCTCAGTACTAACAGACCTATATTGTGAATGCCCATTGGATTTATCTACTTGCCCCTAGGCCCATTCTTTTGTTATTCAAGGAAAAGTGTAGCATGCAAGATTTTTGTTGTTCTCAATTTAAAACTACCAATGGAATAGATAGTTTAAAAGGYCATAAGGTTCTTCTATCAACAACAGCTTGCTCTTTTGTCCTTACAATTAACTTTCTTTTACTTTTTGCTTTCTTTACTGTTTCTTCTTGTGGCTAGTCATGCTCTTTTGTAACAAAAAGTGTTGGACAAAAAGGACTTAGCTCTGCTGATTCTGCATGTTTTAATGATTCTTTCAGGCAGAGCCTCCTACAATAGTCGTTGCAACCATGGCCAGTTTGTGTCAAATGATTGAGAAGAAGATTTTCACACTTGAAACAATGAGGGTTCTGGTAATTGATGAGGTAATTGATTTACTTTGCCATCATCTTTTTCACATGTAATTCTCTTGTTAGAACAGTATACATTTTCAACTGATTTACTTGCTTTGCTTTGGGGTTAATGTGGTATACTTGTGCTTCTTAATTCCCAAAACTCTGTGTTCACTTAAAGATACCATGTGGATATGTTAGGATATGTTATCAATCGGCTTCCCCCACCCAATGTGGATAAAAGGCTGAGGCATTTTATCAAGAAATACATTGAAATGAATTATTTTAGTGCTTTTGAGGATGTCATGCTATTATTTAAATGTTTGGTCATGAATTGATGCTTTTGTTTATTAATAAGGCTAACTTATTTGAGTGTATATATTGTCTTGTTTGTTTCCTTCTTTCTAAGTGAGAATGTATTTTATACTTATTTTTGTTCTCTTGTTAGTGCCTTATCAAAAGGAAAAAAAAAAAAGAAGTGGCTGGGTATGCACTTAAGATAGGTAGGTGTGGGCTTCTCCATTAAGATTTTGACACATGAAACTTTCCATTTTTGATTAGGTCGATTGCATGTTCAATTCATCAAGACATGTGCGATCTCTTAAGAAACTGTTGACGTCATACTCATCCATCAATAACCGCCAGACTGTTTTTGCCAGTGCATCCATCCCCCAGCACAAGCGCTTTCTGTATGATTGCATACAGCAGAAATGGACAAAGGTTTGTTGATGAAGTCGCTATTTTGGCAATATCTTTAGTGCAATTAATAATGTGAAAATGGTTACATATCTTGTATTTTCATTTCTATTTGACAGAGCAGTGTGGTTCATGTCCATGTAAATCCAGTTGARCCAATGCCTTCATGCTTGCATCACAGATTTGTGGTGAGAAAGATCCACATCTATGATACTTCTCATGAAATTAAATGTAATCTTATAATTGAAATTAAATATGATAGTTTTCTCCCTTTTTTCCCTTTTTTTTGCCCTTGAAGCAATCTGCTTAAGGATGATCAGTATACTGATAAACATGGAGCACGTGCTCACAGGGAAGACAAAAAGACAAACATGCAATGGGATCCCATGTAGGGAGAAAATTCCAAAAATCACCTAGTCAGATGATCACAACCGCCCGTTCTAGCTTAGCACTGGTTTTATAAAACAGGATTATTCCTGAAAAATGCCTTTATATTTTCCATGTATTTAGAGCTTTCTCACTAGAACTAATTCCTGCATTTGGATTTCATTCCTGTTTTTATTTCACTTTGAGGATCCAAGAGAGGCTTTGATTGGATAACTGGAGTAGAATTGGAATCAGAGTTCAAATTAGTAGTCACCTTAAGAATTTTAGATCCACCAAAAGCACAGAATTGGAGGTTTAAAATCTGCTAGTTTCAGAATTCCTCTAGGAAAACGAACCCGGATTGCAGAATCAAAAAACATGTGGAATTAAACACCCCCTCGCAATTCCAATTATGGTCTGTGTCTGCCTTAAGTTAGATGGTCATGGAAATTTGATACACACAGTTTTTGGTTCTACTTGATGGTTATCTATGAGCAGTGACAGAATGGCCTTGCTGTGAATAGCCTACTAGATTTGTGGAGGATTTACATTTTTTTTTTTCCTTTTTCCAGTATACTTTTTGTTGTCATCTAGCATCAGGTAACCTCTGAGTTTTATGCTCTATTTTTTTTCCTTTGTTATTACATATGTAACTCATGTCTAAATATAGGTTGTTTCAGCATCCCTTTGACAAGTAGGTTGGCTGTAACCTCCACGTCATATTGCATTTTACAGTCATACTACATATAAAGAGCTCCAAAAAGCTGTTCCTTATCAACTCCTTGCCTGGCAAGTGTGTAATTCAAGCAGTTTACTGATCTTTTGGCTTAAGGAAAGGTTGCATTTGTCTCCCTTTTAGACATCTAATCTCCAGAATCTTGCTATAGTGCCAATACCCTTGTCATTGTTTCTTTAACCCAAGGTTTAAAGTATATTACCAATATCCTTGTCCTTTAAAGAATTGGGCATATCATATTGTATTAGCAAGCCACTGATACTCGAAATATAAAAGGTTTGGGATTTTGGGTATTTTTAGGGGGTAGGCAGGCCTAAGACTGACCCCCTGACCAATTTTGAGAAAAATAAATAAAAGAATGATGTTCTGTAGTACTGAAACACCCAATACGTGTGTATCGGGTGTATCAATACTTTAAACCTTTCTTTAAACAACACACCACCACCATTGAGTCACCTTCCACCCAAGTTGTAGTTCAAGGATCCAATCTAAGACCTTGCAATGCTGCTATAAGTTCTGCCCTTATTGAATTTTCCATGCCTATTGGCCCTGAGTACATGGCTAATATATTTCGATGCCATCTTCAAAAACTCCCCCAATACCTGAAGGTGTTGGATTGCCCAATCTGCATTCATCAAAATTTTCTCATGAAAATTTCCTTCTAGAACTCATTTGTTTAATTCTTTTACCTAAATAACATTTATTGTGGTTCTTCATGTTGGGTATTTTGCTATGACAGATTTGTCACAGAAATGAAAAGTTGCAAACTTTGCTATGCTTATTACAGACAGATGCACCTCAATGTGGCATAATTTTTGTTGCTGAACAGGTTTGTGCCTCATTCTAAACTCTATCAATTGTTCATCAAAATAAGAATGTTTCCAGTGGTCGTTGAGAAGTGAATTCAAAATTCTGATTTCTAGTTTTCCACATAAAATGCCCAACAGTTCAGTCCAGATTATTATATTTGATAGGAAGATACTTGGGGGGGAACATGTGCGAGTTTTAGTGAACTCTTGACCCATGATCATTTGTTTCTGCAACTTTCTGATCTTTACACATCTTTATTTATCATTCTCTTTTTCCTTTCATCTTTTTTTCTTTGGGTTGGTTGTGCAATATAAGACATGGACAGACGGATAAATCATCTCATGAAACTTGGTTGGGCATATAGATCCTACTAGGTTGTAGACTTGGAATGGCAAGGAGCATAATTATGTTTGTGCTGTTGGTGGACTATCTATAAGTACAACGGAAGGTTCTGTATCTTCCTTCAGTGTCACGTTTCAATAAAGAAACCTCACTGGAAGGGGGAAACTTAATTACTCAACTGTGTCAGATGGGACTTACGCCAATAAAAGGTAAGGTGTTGATGTAAAATAGATTACAATTAATGACAGAATGGTGCCCTCTTGTGTGATGCTTAATTGGATAAAAATCATTCTTCAAAATGGATATGAAACAAAACTTAAACTTGAGTTATAATTCACAATTATAGAAGGCAAAACTTTACTCATACTCATTTCCCTGTTAAAGTGGTAAATATATTGCCCGTGAAGTGTGGCAGGGCAAATATAAACCATGTATCAGACAGCTTACCCTCACTAACCATGTAGAAGATATCATTTTCAAATATGTCCCTAAATTCCTGTTTATTTCCATGTTCCTTGGATAATGGTCATGCAGAAATGTGGAGGGAAAGAACAGCTTCTGGGGAAGGCTCTCCATTGACAACAACCTATTTAATGTCATAAAAATCTTGCTTCCTTTTTTTTTGGTAGTGAAAAAGGCAGAAATGTGGAGGTTATCAAATTTCAAAATTTGACATGCTCTAGTGCCAATGAGTATTGAAGGAACTGTTTACATGTAATAATATTTTGTGCACTATATTGAATGAGAGCATGCTATCTCTCATAGAACAGCACTTACTATGCACTGCAAATTTCTATGTAGTCAGAGAAGTCAAAGAAGGCTGGAAATGTTCCATCAACGATCCGTGTAGTCGAATTCCTGAAAACTTCCTATGGTGAATGTTCAGAGATCCTTCTCCTAGAGGAAGACATGAATTTCAATTTAAGAGCATCTACTCTATCAGTAAGCATTCAGTTCTATTGGCAAGTAAACCTAGTATTAATACCAACATGGCCCTGATTCTTTTAAACTATAATAGTTTAGAAGTTGAATTTTTATTTCTAAAAATGAGATTCAGTTCTGGCTATCTTGCTAATTCTTTCATTGTCATGGGTACACATTATACCAGTCCCTTAATCAAATTTCTTGTTTCCCAAGGCAGAAAGTTGTGCTGTCTTTTTTATGTCAATGTCACTGTAATGCAGGAGGTGAGGCAAGGTGGGAGTTGTGGGGCTTATGTTCTAGTTGCAACAGACATAGCAGCCAGAGGAGTTGACCTGCCAGAGACAACCCATATATACAACTTTGATTTGCCAAGGTCTGCAATAGATTATCTTCATCGTGCTGGAAGGACCGGTAGGAAGCCATTCTCCAATGAGACATGCAGCGTCACTAACATGATTACACCAGAGGAGCGGTTTGTATTGCAAAGATTTGAAAATGAGCTAATGTTTCAGTGTGAAGAGTTGTCTGTCTAAAAACAGAAGCCCATCTTAATTTACATAGTTATTCTTTTCATGCACATGTATCGATTAATTGCACCCCTAAAAACAAGAAAAGAGGTAAAGCCTACATGCCCACAACCACATGGAACCCACTGACTGATGCAGGAGGAAATCCATAGCCGTGGTGTCCAAGCTCATTTTTGTTCAGGTAATGGAAGTTATCAATGTCAAGCAATCATATGTAGCATTCTTTTTTCCTTTTATCTTTAATTTATATAACCAAAATAGTTCTACTGCTTCCTAATTTGCGTGTGATTTGTTTAGGTTCTATTTCAGTGATTTCTCAAAATATAGCAAAGCACAAGACTTATCAAGAAGCTAGTGAAGAGCATTTTATCACGTGTCACTGAAAGAGAAAAAAGCTTCTTACGTATAAAAGTAATTTGCAGTTTGCACGAGAGCACTCAATCATTCATCCTCTTGACATCAGGATTTGGTGTGATGTTAGTTTATAAGGGTAAATATTGCCAGGTGCCTTTGCGCAAGAGCAGTCAACAGTCGATTTGAACTCAGGACTTGGTGATGGTAATTGGTGAGAGTGAGACCAATTTGACTACACATGGGGTGGACATGGTGAAAGCATTAAATCTTCCTTCTAGTGTTAGCTTTCTGTAATTGCATTTTATCATCCGACAGCTGATTAGCGAACTTGATAGCTGCTTTACGGGCTTTGAGTCCAATTATTTTGCTCCACACCATAGCCCGTCAAACAGCTATCAAATTCAGCTAATCGTTTCTCATATCATTCTCCTTGCTTACTCCCACAAAATCCTTTTATGCTTGTTTCCATCTTTTACATTTTCACACCACAATCCAACAAGAGTGATCATGAGACATGGCGTTAAGTATATAATAAATGAAGGTTACTAGAATGAAGGCATGACCGATCAGAATTTGATCACAGCAGAAGGCAGGATTTGGCTTACTGAACTCAAACAACAAACGACACGATTGAAGTAGTGGTCCAATTCCAAGACCGAACAATTAACCGAGTCATGATTTGAATTTTTTTTTTTTTTTTTACTTCTTTTGGTATAAATGCATGATTTGAGTTTGAAGAAGCTTTATTGTTCGCCCATAAACGACGAAACACACCATAGTCTTGTCATAGCGCAATAGGTAATTGGATTCATGAAAGTTGGTAGTGCTTTTCATCTTTCCACTTTTTTTCCAGTCATATATGGCTGTATTTGGATGCGATCTAAATCAAGAACCGATGTAAATTTTATATCGGTTTGGTTTTGTATGCGTTTGGAAAGGATGTAATTATTATCGACATAAAATTAAATTGCAATTCAGTTTTGCGTGCATTTGGATGGTGTAGTTTTACGTTGATAATCGATGTAAAATTTCATCAACTCTAATACGTCAATAATTGACGTAAAAACTACATTGATTTTATCGATGTAAAACCTTACATTCTTCCACCTATAACTATTTTCAAAAAGCAACAATAACTTTCTAATTCAGTGTTTCCAAACGTAGCCATAAGTACGTATCGACCAAAAACCAGTAAAGAAATAGAGATTGGTCAAAACTTAAAATAAGAATCGACAACGCAAATGACTCAAGTCTTCATGGAAGCAGAAGTAGCGGAACTCAAATAAGGATACAACGTGTCATAAACTTCTGAAGAAGAAATTACGAACTGCAGGCAATGGAAAACGAGCAACTTGAACACATGAAGTGGTAATTCAATTTCAAACAATAATAACGGTCAATAGAATGCTATCGGATGTTTCAAAGCCATTTTATGGTAGTTGGCTAGCCCCATCTAGTAGGCACAAATTTCAGTTGGAAGCTATGTATCTCATGGCTACACTAGCAATTAACTGTCTCAATTTTCCAGGTCCGTATGTTTTAGATAACATGCTACCGACATAAATCCCTTAGCTGGAATGCTGGATTATTTTCAGGACAAGTTTCTGGTCCTTATTGGATGCTGATCTAAGAAGAAACTGAACCGGTTAGCTGTTACATTGGCCATACATTCAGTCCCTCGACTCACTTGTTTGCCTTCTTTCCTGCCCCTTCTGCTACTTCAGAACTCTAAGATTACCTTCTTTGCGAGAAACAGAGTTTATGGATAGTAAACGACAGATTACATATCAGATCAGTAAATATTAACTTTGTCTTATTTAACGTCTTCCTTATGTCCTGTTCAAAGACGTCTCTTTTTCACTAATGATGGAAAGGAGAACCATTAGTAAATATCAACTTTGTCCTATTTAACATCTTCCTTATGTCCTGTTCAAGGACATATCCCTTTTTCACTTATGATGGATGGGAGGACCATTAGTAGCTTCTTCCTCTACCTTTTGCAAGAGAGAGAGAGAGAGAGATCCAAGTGCTAATATAAGGTGATAGCCACAATATACACAATGCTTTGGGATGCTAAAAACTCAATGCAATTTAGAACTTGAGGTTAAATAATGGCTCTTATTCCAAAAATAGTTTGCTAACCCTCATTTTAATTGAACAAAAATGGACAAAGGGAAAATTATCATATTACAAATCCATCTTTGATTGTTGAATTCTTTGATATGACAGTAACTCCAGAGCGTATGTAGAATCCATCTGAAGATCTGTCTGCCTCTTGTATTCCCTGCAAGCACAGCAAGGAGAAGATAAAGGGATAAAGGACATCTAACTAAAAGTTCTAAGATACAAAGTTTAAGTTTTAACCAAATTCTGAGTATAATTCTTTTCTTTCTACAGGAAAACCATATGCATGAGTGTGTGCAGACTGCAGAACACAGTACAAGAGGACAGAGGAAAGTGGCTGACACTAGAGGAGGAGATGGGAGGAATGGTGGGATTATATTAATGAAAAAAAGGAAGTTCAAGTGGCTGACACAAGAAGAGGAGATGGGATGGTGGGATTATATTAATGAAAAATGGAAGTTCAAGTGGCTGACACAAGGGTCAATATGATTTGGACAAAAAGAGATGCTAATTGCTTTGCAGATATGTTGGCTAAAACAAGGGGTGGGAAGGAATCATATGTTTTGGGCTGTATTGTAATTGTGTATATTTGTATGGGGAGAGTTAAGAATGTTTATCTATCCCCATCTTTGTACCTTATTGAATGAAACTCAGTTATTGTTTAAAAAAAAAAAAAAAGAAAGAGGACAGAGGAAAGTGAGACTTCCTAACTTTGTCAAATAATACATATAGAGTAGCTGTGACACCATATAACAGGTCCTCCCAAGAATTCTAGGTCTTGGGCCAGATGCACCTATCTATGATCTCTTGACCTTCCATTTCAAAATTTTCATTTGGCAATCACTTCTTTGACAGTACAGGAAGATTGAGAGATCTCTGATTGTTGGAATTGCCTGAAGATTCTTTTGGGCCATGGGTTTTTGCACAAAACAATCCCAGACCCCACATTGGCAGGAGCCTCGTGCACTGGGCTTCCCAGTTCTTGCACAAAACAATAAACTAGAGGCTGAAACAACTAACATATCTTAATATCATAGTCAGGGTGGATCAATGGATATCATCTTCCCATCCTTCCTGCCTTCACAATGTTCTCTTCACCATAGTCCATGTGAATATCAGTTTCCGCATTCTTCCTCCAATCTGTTCTTTTAAGTGCCTTGCAACTTGGTAACTTTGTAGCTAGGGTAAGGTCATGAAATATGCAAGTATACATTTCATAGGTTTTGTTGCATCCTTTGCACTTGCTATAAGAAATATCTATGATTATGTTGGCTCTCTGTCTGATCTAGAAACAAAAATATCCTTTCCGGTTCTATCCTCCACGATTTATAAGTAGATACATATGCATGATTAAACAGGTCATACCTCTGAGTTAGAGATGACAACATTCTTTCCGATTCTTGCATTCTTGTCAATGATACACTCTCTGCACAAAATAATGTCAAACAACCCCGATAAATTACATGCAAGTCCAAGGAGATTTAGAAGGAAATGGTTTGCTTAGCTATTACCTGATTTTTGTATTTTCTCCTATGCCAATTGGAACCCTTCCCTCAGCCAAAAGTGATGCTATTTCAGCATCAGTTTCATAATAATCAGCACCAAGCATTACTGTATCCTGCATGTATGTTGTCTTTGTTAGGATATACGACACTGTTACGCATACAAGAACTTTCTATGAGTACACATAGACATACCCTTGTTACAGGACACTGTAACAGACTCTCCTGTCTGAAAGATGGTAAAATACATAATTTTTTGTATAGAAAATATAAAAAGTCTGTATATATGTTTGTTCTTTCAATATGGTCTGCAAGTTGATTAAATAAGGAAATGAGACTAAAAAAGCAATTCTTCTTTAATTTAACAAGGATTTGAGGGAAGATGACACAATGAGGACTGTAAGGTAGAAAATCCAGAAGAGGCACAATTAGGCTAAAGGAAAGTTTTATAAAATATTTATAAAGGCTATAAATGTTGTATGGAGCTGAGTATTGGGCAGCCAAGAAACAGCATATCAAAAAAAAAATTGAGTGAAGCAGAACACAAATGTGGAGATGGATGAGTAAGAATAAATTATCTGCTCCAGTAGGTGATGAAATGGATGAGTAAGAGTAAGTTTTTCTGCTCCATCAGAAATCAACTTGTTCAAAGGAACCTAGGAGTAGCTCCAATAGGTGATGAAATGATGAAAACCAGAAGGATTAGAAGAGCTTGGGGCAGACCAAAAAGGACATGGACTGAAATAGTGAGATGATTTATTGACCCATAATCTAAAAATGGATATGGCACTGAACAGAGTGGAATAGTAAAAGATTCATGTAGCCAACCCCATTAATTGGGACAAGGCTTAGTTGAGTTTATACCATGAATTGTTAAACAAAAGTTAATATATGTTTTTAATTTTATCAACTAGTCACTGTGCAAAATTGCTCATAGATTTTAGCATACTCGCCTTTAACTGCACATTGCTGCTTATTCTTGACCGTATACCAACAACACTGTGCTCAATGAAGCAGTTATCCAAGAAACTTCCGTGTGATACAATTGAATCAATAATCTGCACAAGATTAAAAATAATCACCCAAGGAAGAAACAAGTGGCTGTAGTAAGTAATGTGAAATCAACATAAAATTTGATGTTTTGTTCAAAAGTATAAATGGAGATTAAAGCATAGTTGACAAAAATTGACCTTTCAATATTTTATTTTAAACATAAAGAATTTGATAAAAGCTTTATTCTTGTAGTTTTTTAAGTCATTCTTGTAGGAATTTTAGAATATTATATAAATTTAAGAAAATGATAACCCACCAAAATTTGATATTCTGGGCATCTCTTAACCATCTCTTATTTTAGGATCATAGGATCATTTTCTTTGTAACTCTGACCTTATAAATAATTATATGATTAAGGCAGTAAGGATTGTCGTATATTTGGCCAAGCAGTTCTTCCAGGAGCAATCAAGTGAATGGTGTATTTGACCACACTATAGTGTTTGTAATCTTAGTTATGGTATAGTAATTAAAAATAATGCCATTACCCAATATTGTTCCCAACTATCTGGGGTCTTGGGAGAATTGGACTGTATACACACCTAATTTTGATATTTCTTTTTCACAAAGTGGCCACTCTCATACTCGAACCTATGGTCTCAAGCTTTTCAGCCTGAGATTTTACCATTAGACCAAGCAGTAGTCTAGTACTTTGTATCTTATACTAAATGTGTCACTTAGTGCTATCCCTGGCTTTCCAGGGTCTTGAGAGGGGTGGACTGGATGTGACCTCCAACTGAGACTCAAAGTGGCCACTCTTACACTCAAACACGTGTTCTCACTTTTAGCCTGAGATCTTACCATTGCACCAAGTGATGGCTCCTTAGCAATTAGTACTTTATATTCTCTTTATTAATTTAGAAATTATGCTCATTACATTATTATTGTTTTGTGGATGGTTAAACATACTAAAAATTCCAGGGTCATATCAACCTCTTTTGTAATTGATTAAAATAAAGAACATGTATTTTTGCAGATGAGAACACAGCTCACTTCCTATTGGTTCCCTGGATTACCATAACAAGAGAATTTAATATGCATGGCATCGATATGAACTTTATTTCATATCGTTGGAAACAAGGCCTATTTACACTCTTGAAGTGCCTTGGAGGATTAAAGAAAAAATTGAGATAAGATAACTTACCTTGCTGTTATCAATTTTTGATGGTGGCAGGTTTCTTCTTGATGTATAAATTGGCTTTGTTGCATCATAAAAACTAAAGTTTGGTGGCTGAAAAGAGAGAAAATATAAATTATAATAGTCTGAATCATAAATAGTAACTATTATGCATGTAATTGCCTGTTTTATCTTGAGAGATACCGGTTTACCAAACCACAATAACATCAATTAGTAATCCAAATCTAATCCAATATCAGTAATGTAACTGTAAGAAAAGAAGATACTAGTTGATATTCAAGTCGCTTCTATAGCAGATGCAAGTCAACATCTAATTTAAATTCATCACATTATAATGAAGATCCCGATGGTAAAATGTTGGTCTCTGCTACAATGACAGATCAGATGGCATACAGTTCAGATCGAATAGGTAAAATCATGATTCACAATATCAACAATATTGGAAAAATATCCCCGAAATATCTCCATTTTTGCTAGATGGCAATAAAAAATTTTCCAGGAATCTTTTTTTTCCAAAAATCTCCAATATTTTGCCGATATATCAGCAATATTGGTGATATTTCAGGTTTCATTGATAGAATTTATATTTAAGGTTTAAAATTTTAGAATATTATTAAAAATATTTTCTATGTTTCATTAAAATCATTATAATTTTTTAAGAATAAATTGGTGATATTTCAGATTTCATTGATAGACTTTATATTCAAGGTTTAAAATTTTAGAATCTTATTAAAAACTTTTCGATATATCATTAAAATCATTATAATTTTTTAAAAATATTTTCCTAGAAGAACCATGGGGAGTTGGTGATTGGATAATTAGCTTACTATTTTGATATTATTCACTAAGTCACTAAAATTCAAAAGAAAAAGTAAAATGCATATAACTACAAAAGAGTGTTCTCAAACCAATCAAAACATATAGTAACAAAAAAGAAAAAAAAAGTCAAAATGGAAAGTAATTGACATATTTTATAAAGAGAAGATGGCTAAAAGATTAAAAGGGAGGCAAAGAGAAAGATACCTATCAAAGTCTCAATTTTCTCTTATGACTTATACAATTTTTTGCTATGGTTTTTTGAGCCTTAAATGTGCAACTATATTTATTCTAATGATTCCTTGAAGGTTTATTAACTAATTCCATGTTTCAAGAAATATTTCCTAATTTTTTAGATTTTCCAAATATCTTAACAAAATATCTTCGAAATTTCTCCATCTCTACATGGCGAAATGTCCATCTATATTGTGAACCATGGGTAAAACTATGAGACATACTTGGTAGAACCAAATAAGTCATATAAAGTTGATAGGGATACTACCTTTTATGTGATGCAATGATATATATCTTTTAGATTCCCATCTTCAAGAAAGCACAGCAACTGAAATTGATGTACTACTTTATAAATTTTATTTCCTATCTTCAAAACATACGTGTCCTTGATATATCTAGATAAAAGTTTCCCAGGTGGAAAATAGACCATACATGTTCCAGGTAAATTTATTGGAAATATGGATCCGGAAAGAGTTCAATGCCATATCAAATTTGCTCTGACTCCTCAAAAACCTAATATTCCTTTACATGGAAGCTGTAACAAAAGACTAATACTGGGACAGTAATTGCCATGGATTACTTGGGATTGCTATATTTCTAAATGATAACAACAATAGATAAAAAGTTTACTGGAACCCGTTATGCTGAGAAGAAATTCAAGGAACTGCTATAAATGCATAATACTTACATGTGCAGTAAGGGCAAGGTTTGCTCCAAAAAAGGATCTAATTGTTCCAATATCCTCCCAATAATCATTAAATAGGTATGCCTGCATTGGACATCTTATAGATGGGTTGATCATTAAGGAATTCTGGAATTGCTCAAAATTGATTTAGAAATTGAGAAGTTCTCATAGATCATATATATGAATTACAATCTGTAATAATGCTTATTCATATTAACAGAAGAAAACCATAAACTTACCCCTAAGGCTTTTTACAACAGATATAAAAGATTTGGCACAGACCTTGATGAAGAACTCTCTTGCTGAGGCTGGGATTATTTCAGATCCAAAATCATTTGCAGTAGGAAAACGCCATCTGATATAACATTGATATATTGTGCTTTAATGATTCTCTTTGATGTTGCTTTTAACATTGATGTATTTAAACATATTTTGTCTAATAAAACTTGAATATTTAAGTGTGACGTTTTATTACTAATTAGCTGTGCTTAATATATTTTCTTTGACCAAATAAGAAAAATAATTCATTTGGGTGGGGGTGGGGGAGGATATAGAAAATTATAAGAAAAGATGAGACAAGTTCATGCTTCTGATAATTGTTTGAGAAAAGCAACAGTTCAAGAATTGGCACACAAAATTCATTGAAACAAGAGCATGGTAAGATATATAGGTTTTCTTGGTATGCCTGAGCATTGATATTCTGAATCCATTGCAAGATATTAATTTTCTTGCTAACATCTGCATTCCAATAGCAGTAGGCAAGCAATTGGAAGCACTCCTCTGCAAGCTAGACAAGGCTACCCCAAAAGCATTGCTGAGAAATTAATACTCATCTAAGTCAAAAATAGATTTTCTCCCAACTCCCCCTTGTAGTTGCACTTATGACTTACAATGATTTCTGTTTCCTTTTATTTTCTAAGCAGTTCTGGAAATGGAGCCGCAACCTTCAAAGTGATATTATATTTATCTTCTAGATAAAGTTGCAGATTCATAGATGAATTGTATGATCAAATACCTCAAGAGATTTAAGAGTATCTCCTTCTTGAAGACATAAACTCCCATGGAAGCAATGTATGGTTTCTTTTCTGCTTCTTCTCGTGAAAGCCCCAAAACTGTTGTATCTACTGCCTAGAAGGGATTGGTGAAATGCATTTGATCAGAATTACTTTAAACATATTGAGTTATAATGGATACTATGAAATTGAGAATTACCATTGCCTGCAAATCTTCTCCCTTAGGCTTTTCACTGAATGAAAGGACTCTTCCCTTGTTGTCTATTTTCATTAAACCAAAATCTGAGGCACGACTACAATGGAAGTAGAGAAAGGACTCCAAGGTAATTTGTAACCATAATAATTGAACCTTTAAGAAACGAATTGAAATAGAAACCTATTCTGCTGAAGCAAGGAAATTGCAAATGCAAATACCACCAAACATTTTAAGACCTAAAATGGAGAGTCCCATAATTAATTATCTTTATAGGTACATGTAGAACCCAAACTGCCTCAATGAGGTCAGGTAATGATCCAGTGATAGACACCCAGTGGAGATAGTTTTGTGTCCTCTGAGAAGTTTTTCTGGGAAGAATTCTAAGGTACTTATTTGCACAGGATGAGCAGATATCTTATGTTTCTGTTAAAATTGCTGCAAGTGTAGATCCATGAATTAAAGTAGCTTATATACTCCAGACAAAAGGAGCATATAAACAATCACACATGTAGGACCTCTCCATGTAGAGGAAATCTTCTCAGAACTCAATAATGATCTTAAGAAAAGTAAAGGAAACCATTTAAGGCGTGCAGTTCACCAGGTGGAACTAAGATCAATAACATCAGATTGCAATTTTTTAGGTGATGTAGGAAATGAGAATCCATCTATACTTTCGAGAACCAGAGAGATGAAGATCACAATTATAAACTACCTGTCATCCATAGGGAGACAAGAAATAGTAATATCAGCACCACTCTGCCGACGGCTCTGGAAATGGAGAGGAAAAAGCTTAATGTGTTATGTAAATTTCAATGAACAATGGTAAAATAAAAGGTGTCAGCATGCAGTCTGACCTGCACAAAGTCCATATAATCCATTCGGTATAGATGATCTCCAGAAAGAACGAGCACATCTTCAATATCCTTACTTCTGGCATCCTGGAGAGTGGCATTAAGTATTTCTGCCTTTACATTTGATACCAATACAAGCAATCTAAAATGTAGCTTATAACTAATCTAGATTCAGGTAAAATATGTCAAGGTTACTGAACATTGAATAACTTAAACATCACATCAACCTTATATATTAGTGAAAAATACGTTCTCTAAACAAATAAAAATTGTAAAGACTAGATAAAGTCTTTCAAATACAGGGTCTGAGAAGATCTGTTTTCATGTTGTATGAAAATTTGTGGCAGTGACATTTCCACCATCAGGTATAAAGGAATAAAGGCATCTATATTCAGAAGGAGCACTATACAGTCTCCCATTGAGTACTATATGCAGAAACAAAGAGAAAGTAAGTGCATGAGTGTGTGCTGTATTTTCCTCTACCCATTGTTGATGAGGGTTTCCTACCTTGATGACATGGTTGATAGGTTGCTATGTACACTGTCCCAAACACAAGGCACCTTGAATCATGGAGCAGAATAAGACTGYTTCTCAGCTTGAGCCCAATTGATCCATGCAAAGGGTATGGAAGAAGGAAGGGACCCATCTTATGATGGGGAGCCTGGCTGCCTGCCTCTAGAGGTCTACAGTTACACTGATAGACCTCACCAACTCCTAATAAACCATTTGGTTCCATTTGTTTTCAGGCAAAACCCAAACCAGATGCAAAATTTGCACCTTATAAGCTTGGATACAGATACACTTTGGATACGCTTGGATAAATTAGGGAAGCTCTTGCAAATCCCACAAATACATCAATAACACTAAATTTAAGGTTGAAATAACTATGAATAAGGTATAAACGCATAAGAAATGCACAATTTAATAGTTTATAACTTTATGTGAAAAGATACATTACAATCAATAATATTGGGAGTCTCAAACATGAAGATATCATACAATAACTTTACTAATAATACATCAAATAATCTTTGAGTTTCCAATCTACTAAAAATTCATTACAAGGCACATCAAATTGTTGTTAGATTATATATATGTGCTCTAGCACGATAATCAAGCTCAACTAGTGCAACTAACACGGACAGTTAGAATGATCTAAGGTACCTCAAAGAGCCAGTGGAACTGCCGAACAGCATCTGCAGTTCCCTGAAACCACCTTTTACCTGCCTCTCCTGGAGTCTGGGTCGCTGCTAGCATCTGCAACAAAAGCAAAGCTATTAAGTAATGCTCATTTCAGTAAGCTTCTTAGCCAAACTCAATGGTTTCAGAAGACAGTATCCAGCTTGAATAATAAAGAATGCCAAAACCATTATGGTCAACTCTCCAAGATATACCTCAACAAACCCATCTCCGAAGTTTACTCCATTCCCAAAGTTGTAAGTACGTGCGAGATGCCTGTTAAGCGATGCAGAGTTGAATTGGGTGAGAATGTATATTTTGTTGATCCCACTGTTTATACAGTTGCTCATTGGCACATCGATCAGCCTGTATGCACCTCCAATGGGTACCTGAGTTTGGAAGTATTAGACATCAACAATTCATAGTCAACAGAACAGGAAAATTACTCTAATAATGTGGAAATTTCGCCCATGCACACCAAATACATGTAATCTAAACAAATAAACCACAATGATTTTGGTATCTGAAGCCGAAACCCATTAAACATCTTGATATGAAAATGAAATCCAACGACAAAAAAATATTATAGGGGTTGGAATACAAGATACTAAGTGCACTTTGTAGAGTTAAATTGTGGAATCGGGTTAGTTTCCACCTGTCACACAATTAACCAGTGATTTGCAGTTTGCAACATATAACATACAGAGAGAGAGAAGGAAGCAGAGAGTTGGACTTACAGCGGGTTTGGCTCTTTGTTTGGTGAGAGGAAAGAGACGGGTGCCAGCTCCTCCACCCAGTATAACGGCCACAACTGTCCGAGGGTCCCGCTTCTCCATTTCTAAGTCCCTTAGCTACACAGCAACAAATAAATAAATTATAAAAAAAAAACAAATAATTAATTTATTTGTTTAGCACCTAAAAAGAAATAAAAAAACAAATAAATTAATTATCAAAAAAATTATTGACGATCAATTCATTTTGAGCTCTGATCCATATCAACGGCTTGTAGGGCCCAAACGCTTGCAATGTGGATGCAGGTGCGCTCCATCTAAGTACACCGATGGTCCGGTGATCCGGTCACAAGTGCAGGGATGTTTTGGTCATTAACACGGTCAAGTTGCTTCGGTAAGCAGCACTGCACATCCTTTCGATTTCTTCCACGTATATTGGGCTATAAAGGGACGCGGCCAAACGCCCAATGGGCTGGGCCCCTTCTGGAACAGAATCACATTATTCTGGCCTTCTGGGTTTTCAGTTTACAGATGATATCACATATCAGTCACCGTACGGACAAACATTGACATACGGACTTTCCGACCGACCATATCTACCAAATAATTGGTCCCGGGTCCCCGACCCCGACCCCGACTAGGTACAGGGTACTTAACCATTTAAAGTAGAGATGTAGAATCTTTGGCCAAGTTTTCCTTACATACAAACAAAACAATATATAAAGGTGAATAAAAAAGGACAATTTCATCAACTAGTTATTTAAGCCCAATAAATTTTCCAAAAACAACCAGGTTACAAGTTTAGCAGACCAGACCTCTAATGTCTAATCTAACTGGGTTTGTACTCCATCTGCATGGACAAAATTTGAGCCCTAACTGCTGATCCGTAAAAGGATTTTGGGCCCTGAATCTAATTAGGCAAAGATATATCAGATTATTAGGGGCCCAATAATAGCCCAAATTGAAATTTGCTTAGGAATCTAACCGGAATCTGGCCTATTCCCCGCTTGTTTGTCTCAGACAAGAATCGAAATTGGGAATCCAAATGGGATTATTTGTAGGAACCTACCTTGCTGGGATTTGTAGGAATTTGTAGGGTTCAATTGTTGGAGTAGGGAGGCACCGACAGAGATGAAAGGAGGAGGGAATGACCATTCCCTCAAACAGGAGAATGTCATTCCACTACGAATGAGAATCAAATTCCAATTCCACCCAACCAAATGGCATGGGTGATGGGTCATTCTAACTTCAATCCCAAACCCTTATTCCCACAAATCAAAATCAAATGGATCATTAATTTGGTGTGAGTAGCCACCTTAGCATGCTCCACAAACAGCACAGCGGATCGTTTTAAAACCATTGGATTGGATTAAAATACAAGAGGGAGTTAGTCCGTATACAGTTATTGCAAACAGGCACCATTGGTTTGGAATCTTCATCTGGGCTACCGATATAATAGTCTATGGTCTACAGGCTACAGCCAAAATCGAAGCTCAAAGACTACGGCCTGATCATTGATGTAGATTATCGGCATTCCCCATCAACCTTTGAGAGAAAAGGTTCCAAATTCCTATGGGCTGACAGCTTGGGTGGTAAGGCCCTTTACCCATGGAGGCATGGACATCTGCAAATTCAATCAAGTACTCGGACTACAATATAATTAATAAAGCGATGAAACCTTTATTCCATTGGAATGTTTTTGTACTTCCCAAATGCCAAAGTGTAGAAGATGAGTTGCGTGGGCATCTGGGCCGAGGCCCGTGAGAGAGAGAGAGAGAGTGGAGATTACCTTGGACTCAATTCCGATATTAGTGGTGAGAGACATGGAAACGTAATGCTTAACCAGCTTAGTTTTAGGAGCCTGATGAGGTTGAGGCCAGTTGAGCTTCTTCCCCATCAATTCTCCATTACAGGACTTCACCAGCTTCCCATTCCTCCCCACCAATCCAGCACCGCCATATAAGTGGCCTGCCGCCGAGAATGATATCCGGCCGTCGGTGGCGCACGCCATTTCCTCAAAGCTCCGAGGAGAATAAGGAAATGCACGTTAAAAAAGAAAGCGAAATGGAAAATGAAAGAGACAAAGGGAAACTAATGAAGATTAAAGAGTGGAGTGAGAGTGAGAGCAGTGGAGAGTGGAGACTGTGGTCTGAGAAGAGATCAATAAATGTGTAACAGCTTTAGCTTACATGGAATTCTTCCGTTATCCGCACTAATTAATACCGTCCACCAATTTGTGCAATTGCGTCCGCCGCTCGAGCTAAATGTGTATAATTACGTAAAACTCCTTGAACCTGACGTAGAATACGAATCAAGGAATATTCTATTCTAAATCTAAAACATTATTAGCAAATTTAGGCTTTTAAATTTTAATCCAGGATAAAACATTTCCACCGTATAAGGGTATTGTGGAACAGAACATCCATTAGATTTTCCCCAACCATAAGATCTCAGCCTTTAAATCATTCGACTTTTTTTTTTTAATTATTGGTCATTGAATCGAACTTGATATCCAATTTGGGAAAGTTTGATATCTAATTTGGGCTATATATGATAATGGTACCTATCGGCTATCGTAAGCAAGTCTCTTGACTCTTTCATTTCATAATGGGGGAATTATTGGAATTCGAAGTTAACATCTTGTTCCAACTTCCAACAGTCCAAGTCCAACACCTGTACAGGACCATAATTCCAATGACCCCATCCAACAGTCCAAGTCCAACACCTGTAGTTTCCAATGACCAAATTCTTTCATCTGCCATTTGGGGGTTAGGCTTTATACCCTGAATGAGGTGTAGTAGTTCAGCCAAAGGACCAACTTCCCAGTCATTATGAGCCCAAAATTTAAATAGATTGATGATGCAGTATGAGTTCTTGTTTTTAGTTGCCTTGTGATGATTTCCTCTATCAATCCAGTATTGACATTACCAATCCATTCCTCCAAGGCAAGTAGTTCCTGCAGTAATTGAGATGATTCAATTAATAACACTTAACTCATAAAAACATGGAACTGAAATTTTAAAAGAAATTAAACGCTTTAAAAAAGAGTATTAGCTCAAATCAAAATACAGAAGCATGAGACATAAAAGCCAAATGGAAATTAAAAGTAAACAATTGTGGATCACACCAAAATGCTTCATATATATATATATATGAGAGGGTTGGGTATTATATTATATAGTTTTGGTCACCATTCCACGCATGTCTAGGCTGATGCATAAGGGCAACCAGGCATCCACCTCTCCAGAGGGGCATTCTCTAAGCTCAAGTGAGGCACATGACTTTAAATGTGCCCTACCTGTGTGCTTTTTAAAAGACTATTTCAGAGTAAGCATTTCTTATTCGAGGAACCAATGCTTTTCTTTCTATTTGATGTTATCCTAAAATGTGCACTTGTTCCATCATTGGTGTAAAATCTATAATGATTTGTTCAACTTACATCATAAGACATGTAATATATAACATGATTAATATGATACCTAGTGTATGATGTACTCTAATAACAGTTCTCCTCAGGAATGAAAAGTTCTATTAATCGAATCCGTACTTAATAAATTAATAATTCCAATAACATAAAAACTTATACTTTTAAAATCTACCTAAAAAAAATAGTGTTTTCATTTAGGTGGTAGTAAGAAATTAACCATTGTGGATCAAATGGGTTAATCCATGTTGCCACGATTAAATAATAAAATGAAAAAAAATTAAAATTAAAAAAAAAATGGGAACATTTTTTACATATTAAACAATAATAAGTATGAAAAATAAGAAATATTTTTATTAATGATGAAAATGGAATGTAAATTTTAAAACCAGTTGGAAATAAAAATATTTTCCTATTCTCTCTCATTAAATCCTATATTTAAGATATGTTTTATCATCATTAAATTCTTGTAATTAAATCCACAATATTAGTTTTATTAGTATAAAAATAAATATTTTGAAAAGTAATTTGAAAACAAAACCATTTTCTTCCCTCCTGGTGGTAGGCAAGCAATTCGACCATTTGGGGTCAAATGAATTAATAAATAATGCCTTAATTAAATAATATAAAATTAAAATAAATAAGTATGAAATGTAATAATTATTTTTATTAATGATGAAAATGGAATGCCAAATTTAAAATCTACCTAGAAATGAAATGATGTCACAGTCAAATAATAAAATTTTTAAAAATAGAAAATACAAAGAATCATATAAATAAAAAAAGATAGAGAAAAATTTGGGCACATAACTAATGTTATATATTTATAAAAAATAAAATATTGGGTACATCTCTAATATTATGCATTCATTATATTGAGCAAAAATAAGTATTATACATAAGAAATAATTTTATCAATGATAGAAATGTAATTCAAAATTTAATGCCAACCTAGATATCAAACTAATTTTCTTTTAGGGTGGTAGGTTAGTGGTTTGGGTGAAATGATATCATAGACAAACAAAAATTAAGTGTGATAAGTAAAAATTATTTTATATAATGTAAATGAAATATATAATTTAAAGGGAAAATTATAGACAAAGCCGTACATTTAAAATTAGGTTGCAGGTTGGTCAAGAAACCAACAAAACTCTAACAACCAACTCTACATTTCAAATTATAAAATTCCCCGCCATGTCATCGGAGGCTTATGTGGTTGTTGCCAATATGAGACTCTCAATCCATGCTGGACACAGCAAAAAGCCTATATCGAAAATAGGTTTTCAATTTCTCTCCCGCTCCTCTGTCTCTCGACCTCCCTCCCTTCTCTCTCACTCTCACAGTCATCTTTCGATCTCTTGCTCCCTCTGGCTCTCCTACTCTCTAAGCTTTGGTCTGTAGCCAAATCAAAACCTCTCTCTCTCTCTCTCTCATTCTTCTCCCTCACTCTCCCTCTTGGTCAATATCTCATTCTCCCTCAATCTCTTGTGTTCCCCCTTAGTCTTTCGCCCACTCCCTCTCTCATTCTTTTTTTTTTCTTACAAACTTATACACTATTAATCAAACTATATAAAAGAACTAAAGGGACTAACCACTTGTACAATCAAGTTATAAATTTCTAACAAGTTGGTTTAAATTTCAAAGCCAAGAGTTTCTGTAAATTTTTATCAAATTGGTGTAATGATTTTTGAACCATACCAAGTTGGTCTCATGTTCTTTTATACAATTTGATTAATACCATATAAGTGTGTAAGAAAATAAAAAAAAAAAAGAACGATAAAGAGAAAGACTGAATGAGAATGATATATAAAAATTAATGAAGGAGAGATCGACCAAAAAAGAGAATGAGAGAGATTGAGGGAGAATGGTAGGTATAGAGAGAATGAGAGAAATTGATAGAGATAACATAAATACAGAAACCAAAAACCATTTTTATTTATTTTCAAATCACACAATCATTGAGCAGAGAGAGACGACAGTGGCAATGAGAAAGTGGGAGAGAGAGAAAGAGAGAGAGAGAGAGAGAGAGAGAGAGAGAGAGAGAGAGAGCGGGAGAGAAACTAAAATCCTTTTTTCATTTTCCAATCACCCAACATTAAAGGGAAATTCCAGTATAAGCTTTTTGTTGTATCCAACATGGATTAAGAGTCTCGTGTTGGTAACAACCACATAAGCCTCGGATGACAAGGTGGGGTTTTTATAATTTGAAATGTAGAGCCGATTGTTAGAGTTTTGTTGGTTTTTGGACCAACCTATAGCCTAATTTTAAATGTACAACCGGCTCTGACTATAATTTTCCCTAATTTAAAACTAATCTAAAAGCAAAGTTATTTTCTTATCTAGATGGTGGGTCAATGATCCAACTTTTCAAAGAAACTCATGATGTCATAATTGAATAAATATTTAAAAGGAGATAGAACACCAAAAATGAAAATGTACAAAATTTTGTTGAAAACATTTGAGAACATTTCTAATGTTATATATTCATCATATTAAATAAAAATAATTGTTAAAATAAAAGTTATTTTTATTTATGATAGAAATGGACTACAAATTTAATAATAATAATAATAATAATAATAATAATAGTTGTTATTTGCTACAAACATTTAAGTTTATTTTTAACCATATTGTTACTTTTGTTAATTTTCAATTTCTATCTTAACTATGACATATCTAAAATTCAAGTAATTAATATGAAGAAAATTTTCTCACGTGCAACGCATGTGCTTAATTACTAATTCCAAGAAGTGAGGTTATTCGCTCTTTCAGAAGTAGTATAGATTAGGGGTGGCAATTTTCCCCATCCTCGACAGGTATCCGAGCTCCCCGACCCGATGGGTCTAGGTATGGGGAATACTTTAGCAGGGTTGGGGATGGGGCTATTCCTGAATCCCCAATCGGGTTCGAGGATGGTGATGGGGAATGCAATCCCTGCCCCACCCCGGCCCCCATTAATAAATATATAATTAGATAATTAATATAATATACAATATTATGTATTATTTATATAATATTTATATTATAATACTATTATACTATAATATTATATTATTATTCATTTATTTTTAATGATTAAAACTTAAAAAACACAAACAATCGACAATCGACAGACACAGACAGAGAACTCTGAACCGTGAGTCCGTGAACCCTAGTCTTCTTCTTCCTTTGTCTTCATTATCGATTCGCCGACCGCCGTCGTTGTCGGCACTCACCCGTCGGAGGTCGGACGTCTATCGTCGCTGACTACCAGTCTACCACTCGAGTCTCGACAGAAGACAAAGATATTCAAAGAAGAAATAACTAAAACTCAGTTCTTCAATCTTCCTTCGACCTTCATCTATCGTCTTTGATCGTCGTCGCCGTCGCCCATCGGATTCTCTCTCTCGTCATCGGCCTCAACTCACAATGGTCTTCTCTCTCTCTCTTTCTCTCTCTCAGCCTCAATCTCTCAGACTCAATCTCTATTTCTCTCGTTTGTTTATGTTTTCAGCATTTTTGCTTTGTTAATGGCTACAAATTCGGGGATTTGAATCTCCAACAGGGAATTCATCCCCGTTGGGGTCGGGGATGGAAGGGAATTTCTTTCCTCGACGGGGATCGGGGACGGGGATGAAGGGGTGATTTGGGGGTCGGGGTCAGGGATGGGGAATGTAATCCCCGCTCCAAACCTACCCCGTTGTTATTCCTAGTATAGATTACTAATGTGGCTCCATTTTATCTTGATTT